ATTCTTTAAAATCAAGTCAGGTGAATTAGGGAATGCTGCACATCTCCAGAGGCTGAGGGCTGCATTCCTGCTGGGCTGTGTTATCCTGCGTTAGTGCCTGGTGCCAGGCATTTTTCTGTGCTGATTTGCTGAATGTTGCTTCAGAGGAGCCGTGTGAGCAGCACAGGAGTCCTCCACACCTCAGCAACTTTGTGCTCTCTGTTCCACCAGAGTGAACCAGGTTAGTTCCTCCTTCTGGGCACCATTACTACAGGCAATGTAATTTCTTCCCCTCTCTGATGAGAGTTGAAAAATTTCCTTTATTCAGCGAGACAAAGAAAAAAAAAAGCGCCAAGTATTCTGAGGGTAGTTTTGTTTTTCTCAGCATTTCTGTGGGATTTCCAGAGCTATGTTTTGTGTCCCCCTCCCTCCAGCTGATGACCTAAATGAGCTGCCGATGGCCAAAATAATTTGTTGAGTACTTGCGTGGAAGAAATTCCCTTTTGGGAAGGGATGGGAGCTCCTGAGCACAGCCTGGGCTCTGCAGGTGCTGGCCCTGGTTCAGGGAAGAGCCATCTCCTCCCTGCAGCAGAGAATTTCTCCCACTGGCTCCTGCCCCGGGCTCTGCCCTCTCACCAGGTCTGGACGAGCCATCTGCATCCAAACATGGATCAAACGGATCAAACAATCCACGGGCTCGGCCTCGAGGAGGAGAGAGGGAGATCCCCAGGTGATCAACAACAGCTGCTGGAGAGAGCCACGGGTAATCCCGAAACTAAAGAGGCTTTAGGGTTTGAGAACAAAAGGACAGAGCGAGGGCAAGCTGGGGAGCACTGAGAGCCTTGGGTTAAGCTCAGTGAAATGAAGGTTCCTCGCGTTTCTCAGCGAGACCACAAAGCCAAGAGGCAGCTGCCTGTGGCTGAGGGAGGCTGCCTGACTCACCAGCGTGCCACCATGGCATGGGAGCGCGGGGGGAAGCACAGCTTCATCCCTCCAGGCCAGGAGCGGGAGCACATGCCAGAAAGGGGAACAAAAACTCATCAACTCAACCACAGCTGTGGTAGAGAAAGGAAGATGGGGTTTCGCAGCCTCTCTGCTCGCACATGAGGGCTGCACAGCACAGGGAGGGAGGGTAACCCCACACTGCTCCCAGCCTGGAGCTGGGACACGGCCTCGCACCGTTCCCCCATGGAGATGAAGGCTTGTGTTTTTTGGATAAGGATGGGGATGGAGGGCTCTGCCAGCAGGCAAAGGCATCGAGGCATGGCTGCCTCCTACACCCCTAAAGCCATTACATTAAATGGAAAGTCATCCATGAGCAGAAAGAGAACAAACTGGGGGAATTGTGGAGGTACAGGTTTAGCTGACAGCCTGAACAGAGAGAGAGAAAGGGCCTGTGGTGATGCTGATGATGCTGAGATCACCCTGTCAGCTGCATGATACAGCAAAAGAGAAATAATGAATATACATGGGTTTAGAATCTACCAGAGAGGCCATAATTCCTACCATAACTGATTCCTGTGCACTGGAGGCTCCATCTAAGGACTGCAGCTCTCCAAAAGCAGGATTGTGGCACAGCTCATTCAGGGTTAAAGTGGCTTGGAAATGATGGGGGGTAGTGACCCAAAAGGAAATTTTATCAACCCTAGATATTCTGCATGAAAATATTTGTGGAATTTTGGGAGGGGAGGAGAGAAATTACTTCAGAGTTGCTGAAGGACTGATCATGTTCAGTGCTAAGCTTGAAGCAGGTGTTTGTGGCCAAGTTATTAAATGGTTTCTGATAGAAATCATTTAATAACTAGATTAAGATTTTAAGTGCAGTTAAGGCACCACCTTAACTGTAGCAACAATGGCAGGGGCTGCTGAGGCTCTGGTGCTCAAAGCAGCTGGGCTGCAGAAATGGGAAACAGCCTCTTGTTTGTTCCTCATTCTGAGGCAGGGAGGGCATATGGACCTCCCGTGGCACAGCCCCTTCCTCTTGTATCCCCTAATCTGTGATCTTCAATATCCTGTTTCAACTGGAAGTTAAGATTTCAGCTTCATAAGGCTGCCTACAAACTGGGAGGACTAAACTGAAGCAGGGCATTGATGCACATCAAGTTTAAAGTCCAGCGAAACAAATACATGTTCAAGTATTCACTCAAATCCATTCTGTATCAAGAAAAAAAGTATAAAGATGATTCAGTGTTTTGATCAGCAAAGGCAGATTTAAGCATACATTTAATTAATTCAAAAATTTTGTGCCTAAGGGCTGTTCCAAAAGTGTTATAAGATGTTCCTTTTTACAGATCTTTTAGAGAATTCTCTTTGCAGAGTCTCGTGTTATTCTGTCTTAATTCATTACAGGCTAGACTTTGCCACTTCCATTAATGCAAAACCATCCCTTCATGTCGAGCTGAAAACAGCTAAAAGCAAAACCCTAATTTAACCCTTAAACCAAGCAGAGTGTTTGGAAAGATCTGTTAGCAGAGAGGAGGCTGTGCCTGTGCTCTGTTTGATCTGTGATGACTGGGGGGTGTTCAGGCCTGGGACATGCCTTGTTCACTGGAAATCAAATTGCACCCTGTCATAACAGTCTATTAACAGCCCTGAATTTCTGCAGAACTTCACCTCTTTGCTAGAAGATAACATTTCTCTTTCCTCCCAAGGATAAAATAGCTTCCTGTCTTGCAGCCCTGCATATAATGGTGCTATTGCTTGACAGGGATGTCAACTTCCCTTGACTATTAAGGACAGGGGAAATGTCTTTGTTACACATTTCTGCTCTCCTTTCATCCTCTTCAGAGAGGCCTCCAGCTCAATCTAAACAAAATAAAGCCAGGGTATCAGTTAAAAACAAAACCATTTTGAAAACTCTTTGATCTCCCTGGCTTCCTGTTAAATATACAATCGACTGTTTCTCCACATCCTTGACCACTAAAGATCTGATTTTCTCTGCAGTTTATATTGACTTTGGCACCACACAAAATTAACATATCATTGGCTATAAAATCTCTTAAAGGCAAAGAAATCCAACCCCTCCTCAGCTTCACCTTTGCCTCTCTGTGTTCTGTGCTTTTCAATCCTGCCACCCACCTTTGTTTGTGTGCAGGGACCCTGAGGTTGGACCCTGTCCCCTGTCTGTCCCCAGGCCAGCAGAGACTGTTAGCTCTGGGAAAACCCAGCATCTCTTTTCCTCTCAATCTGCACATCTTTTTTCCCCCTGAGAAGTTCCTCCTGCCCTGCCCCACCAGCACTGCTGCCAGGATTTTGTTGGCTTTGCTCTTCTCCTCCACCACAGTGTCTTTTTCCCCACTGGGTACCCTCCCCACATCCCACCACCATCCCTGCAAGGACCTGACTGCCCCATCCTTCCCTTCCTCCTCACCCCTGCCTCTTCTGGTGCTGGGTTAACACTCACACTCCATAACCTTGGAGGTCTTTTCTTAATGCTTCTGTGATCCTGTGGACCCCAGCTGCATCTCAGCCCTGCCCTTCTCCCTTTGCAGAATTTCAGCTTTTCCAGTCTATTCATAAGGAATTTCTTCTCTCTCAAAGGGCTTTATGCCTTCCTCCTCACCCCATTGTCATTTGAACAATCCATTGCCTTTTTTATTTATTTTTTTTCCTCTTTGGGTGGGTGACAATGGGTGGATGGGAATGGGACAGTTTGCTGTCAGTTTTCTGCTCTTTGAATTTATCTCAGCTGTCCAGTGTTCATCAGTTTTGGTGCATTAATGACTCAGACAACATTTATTAACGATTTAGGCTGAGGAGGGAGTTCTATCTGATAGAGATGAATAGATTGTAAGGTATTTAGGTCTCACTGTACTTGTGCAAAGCACTGCACATAATCTATGGAGTTCTACAAGTAGCAACAGGAAGTGTAATCCTCTGTACTGGCAAACGGGTATTAATCACACTGAAGGAACACAAAACGTTGTAGCTTTCAGGACTAACTGCTCCATTAAGGGTAGCATTTTAAGCAAGAGAAATGCTTGCACACAATGGGAAGACACATATTGTTGCTTCATGCACAGATCAGAGAAATTGTTCTGTAGCTTTAGTGACAGCAGAGACAAAAGGCTCTGTCTCCCTCATTGTAGCAGCAAGTCTGGGTGGCTGCCTCCACATTTCTGCCCTGACTTGAGGCCTCTCCACATCCCAGAAGCAGGGAAGAAATGTTGTTGCTCATACCTTAGGTAGTCCCAAAATGGGCCAGGGCCTGAAGGGGCTGGGAGGGTGGGATGGATCTGAGTTTTGCCATATAGCACAGAAGTGGGGACTGAGTTTGCACACACTGCAGGGAGATTTGCTGTCACAATAATGGATCTCATGGGGCTTTGAGTGGCTGATCAGAGAATTATTTCCCAACTTGCCCCATCTCCCTTCTTGCTTCAGAGGTATTTTATAAAATGAAACCAATACTTTATAAAATGAAACCAATAATTTATAAAATGAAGCGAATAATTCATAAAATAAAGGGCCCAGAATATCCAAATTGTTCTGTAGAGGTTACCAAATACCAACCCAAAGCAGAGCAAAGATTGAACTCACAGTTTCCACAAATCCACTCAAATCCTGCCCTGCACTGCAGCAGCTTGGGGATCATCCAGCCTGGCAGAGCTCCCCACACCTCAGTAGCAATGATCCTTTTCAGGATTCTCCTTCCATCAAAGCCCCAATTGATGATAAAGAAATGGATTTTGGGTGTTCTTCCCTGCTTACAGACTCCTCCCTACTCCTCCCCAGCCCCCTTTCCACAGCCACCATGGAGATCTGCATCCTTCAGACCCAGGAGGTGCTCGGGAGTCTTTGAGGAAAACTCACAATTCTCAGAACTGGCAGAAGACCTAAAAACAAGCTGACTCATTTCAGGCATGCCTCAATCTCCACCTCAGCAAGCCTGGTTAAGTTCTTAGGAAACAACCCAGAAATGCAAACCCCAAACCAGAAACCAGAGTTGCAGACAACCATCTTTGCAAATTTAGTTGCTAACCTGGCTTCCTTTATTTTAGGAATGGAGCAGCTCTTTGGGAAGTCTGTGAAGCCTTTGGTTTGTCATGGCTGCCTCTGGGCACTGATGGCACAGGAGGTGAGGGAATCACTTCTCTTCTCCTGAGGCAGCTTCCCTAAAAGAAAGGTCAGCCATGAGGTCACTCATTATTGGACCAGAGCTCAGGTATGGACCTGTTCATTAACCTTTATCTAGCAGCACATTCCACATCCTGTACATGGGTAGCATAGTGGAATTTCTGCCTAAAGTGATAATTATTAATGTTTTCTGTACTCTCTTGTTGCAAAAATATCCTTACTTTCAGGAGTTTGCCTGCAAAGGTTAAAGGCTTTGGGCTTACATCACAACAATTATGCAATATTGCAAGGCATACTGAAATATATACGTGTTTTGAAATATGAATGTGTATGAGAAAGCGAGGAATCAATGGACATTTAATAACTGAAACACAGCATTCTGGTTTTTGCAACCCAAGGACCTTCAAAACTCTCCACCAGACAGAGAAGCTGTGGCTTCCCCATCCCTGGAAGTGTCCAGAGCCAGGTTGGAATGGGCTTGGAGCAGCCTGGGATGGTGGAATGGGATGAGCTTTAAGGTCCCATTCTGGGATTCTTTACAAACCCTCATTTCCTGCTTGTGATGGGCTTTGTATCAGGCCCCCCAGAATAAAGAAGCCAGATCTCTTTTCCCAGCTCCCTCATTGCACTGGAGGCACAAATTACATTTTACTTTCTGCAAGTTGGGGAGCTGCAAACAGCTCTGGTGCCTTTGGGGTAGGCGGGGAAAAGAAGTGTGGCTGATTCTAAATAAAATTACTGTCAGATCAACCTTGATAGCAGAGATAATGGCAGTGATCACATGGGAATAAAGACTCAGGCTTTGGTTTAATCATCGTTCCCTATCAGCTGCACTGATGCAGTTCTGCATGACTAAGTCAAATAAATGTTAGGTAACTGAAATTATCTCCTTGTTTTGCACTCCCCCCTCGAGTACCCACAGTTTGTTTCAGGGACTTTGAAATAGGGAAATCTGCAAAGGACATCAGTGAGAGCTGATAACAAACAGGACAGGGTTTTTGTGAAGAGGTAGCTGAAGTTAAGCTATGAAAGAGATTTCCAGAGGCAAGAAATAGTCCTAAGGTCATAAAAATCACGTGTGCCTTTGAAAATTTCTATCAAGGCTGTGCCCAGCTGCCTAAATTGGCTTCCATTCACTTCACAGGGTCTCTCTAAGTGCTGGGGCATGTGATTTTCAATTCTACTCCCAACAACCTGGGAGGGGAAAGACCACCAATATTGAAAAAATTACTTTTTTCACAATACAGAAAGCCTTGTAACTAGTGGTGTGACATTTCAATGTAAAAAAGATCCCCAAAATCTCATATCAAAACCAACAGGAAGCCTTGCGCAGGCAGCCCTGAGGTTTGGTTTCAAATCTTGATTCAGATCCAAGTTATGCTGGTTAGTTTATCCTAAAAGACAGAATAAATATGTAGGATCCTAAAGTGTTCCAATAAAGCAACATCCTTAATTTGTTCAGTATCTCAGGCAAATTAAAAATTAATACTTAATTGGACTTTCTCCACAGCTCTGGTTTCTTTTGCACTGTCCCTACCCCTCAGGTGCTGACTGCAAGCTCACACAGGTGATGTTCCTTAAATCCCTAACTCCCAGAAGGGCAGAATTGCATCAGAACCTCCACTTTCAGCTCACCTCACCTCACCTCATTCTCATCTCTTACCTGGGCCAGGACAAGGTAGGAAACATGACCCCTCTGACACCCAGCAAAAGCTGAAGGAAGGAAAGAATATTTTTATTATATTCATTTATTTGCTAAATTTCAGACCCATTTGAACAGGTTTCACTCAGGAGTTTTCAGTGTTTGAGTTGGTAATTCTGCCTTTAGCCCCCACACCAAGCACTACTCTGTGTATTTAAACTGAATTTGATTTAAGTTTAGTTTTAATTTAGGGCAGCCTGCCCAGATTTCTTTCCCCTCTGCTGACAAACTTGGCAATGCTTTTACAGGGCCCGGAGAGCGTTTCAGCCTCTCTTGCAAAGAGCCTTCACACAAAGCACTTTATTTCCCCCCAGAACAAATAAACAAGGAGTAAACATCCCTCCTCTCACACACACAGAACATTTCCTTGTCATTCTTTTCCCATTTGTGCCATTTCTACTGCACAAGTGGGACTTGAGCTTTATGAAAATGTTATGAAAAGGCAAAGCTGCATTTTGCAATAGCAAGGACCCAAAAGGAAAAAATAAACCCAAGTTTTTTTGGATGTTTGCATGCACAGCTTGTGGACTCTCTCCAGTTCAGCTGTGTTTGAGGATCCCAACAGACTGTGCTCTGTTCAAAATGCAGTGAAACCTCTGCAAGGGAAGAGCAGGCACATCGTGGTGGTTTGATTTCCCCCTTTTTTACCTTGAAGAATGCACTTTCTTGGGTTACACATTAAACTGGCAGGAGCAGAATCAACACTTGGGATTCTACATGGAGCTTGAAACATTGCTCCACAGAGCATGCAGAGCTTCTCCCATAGATCTTCAAGTTGTTTCCCTTATCTAACCAAGTTATGTATAAATATTAACATATTATTCATGGGCAAATAATTCCATGCCACTCCTTGCTGCTGCTGCCTTAAAGAGGATTATTGGTTTAAGTGAAAATGACAATCCCTTTGTGAGGCCTTCAATGCATTTTAGGTTAAAAGAATTTAAGAAAAAAAGGAAAGAGAGAAAGGGTAACTTAATTAAGTAAACCTCAAAAATGAAGAAGTGGCCTTTAACTGTTGGTTTTAATGTAGGGGAGCCACCACCACATAAAAACTACTGACTAAACTCTATAGTAATAGCAATTAGTCAACTCCCACTTGACTTGGGTGAGGTAGGGCTGGGATCCAAAGAATTTGTTCCCTGCTGTGTGCATGGATGGATGTTGTGAGCAGCCTCTAGTTCTGCCCAGGTTCAGCACAAGCCTTGGACCAAAGTCAGGCCCAGAGTTTGAACCTGATCAGGATCTCCCTGCAGTGCTGGAGGGGTCAGTTTGGCCAGGCTGGTTTCTGTTTTCCAAGACTGGTGGGATTGACCCCTTCAATACAGGTGAATTTTTTCGTTAAAATGTTCCTTGGGAATATCCCTTGTGCACCAGGAAAAGTGTGTTCCTCTAGAAAAGGATTCTTCCTGCAGAGGGCTGGATATGCCAGCAGTTGTGGACAAGAAGCCATTGCAAGTGGAACATGTGAAAACAGGAGCCTATTCATAAAAATAATGTATTTACTCCTTCAAAGCCTTTGCTCAGGAGTTTTTTCTAAAGTTCAGCTGGATAGAAAATGCCCACTTTAAAACCAAACCAAAGACTCTAACAGATGTGTGTGCCCTGGCGAAGAAAAAGGGTGCAGACACAGCAAGGAATTCAGAAAGGACAGACAGTCATATATGGACATGGGAAAGGAATCTCAAATAAATGTTTGTGGCTGCGACCTGGAGTTTTTGTGTTACCTGTAATGAGACTCTGGTTTTGGGGCCTGGCCTATTCCTCTTTCTTTTTTTTTTTTTTTTTTTGTTCCTGACTGCAGCTTTTGGTGCTTTTTGTACTACAGGAGACAGGGAAATCTCACCAGCACCTCACTCCCTCCAGCGACCAGGGGAGGGACACATCTCACCAGGAGGACCATCCCTAAAACTGAGAATTTGGATTTTATTTCTTAGCCATATTAAACCCCACAAAATTCCAGATTGCCAGACTGGGACAGGGCCATGTTTGTTTGTGTGTGTGAGTCACACTGAGAGCAGCTCCTTGTATGCAAAATCCGGGCAGTGCTGAGCTTGCAGGTGCTGCCTCCTCACACTCAGGTGCTGAAAATCCTCCACTCCATCCCTCAGGATATCAGCACATCCCACTGGGTGGCCACCCTAGTGACAGTTTTATCTCCAGACTAATTAAAAGCTTATTAATTTCAGGCTGTTAGCACATTTGGAAAGATTAGATCAGGCCTTATCCCAGTGATTGTGGTTCAGGAGAGGGCTCAGCCTCAGGAGGCTTTTGTGTCCCTGTGTGTCCCTTCCCCATGCTCTGACAGCCATGCAGGAAAGATGCTGTGCTGTCCTCATCAAGATGTTTTATTTTCTCTCATGAAACTCCAAAACCAAAGAAAAAACTGTACTCCAGACTATCACCTTCTGTCTCCCTTCACACACTAGTCACTTGTAAACCGTGCCAGGAGTTCCCATGTAAGGATGTATTAAGATTTCAAAGCCAAACCTCCAAAAAAAGGAGGGGAAAGCAGAGCTGGGATTCCTTCTGAAGGGGTTTGTGAGGAGGGCTGTGGGGCTCTGCCCAGCAGGATGTGCTGTGTTAGTGAAGCACAGCTGGGATTCCTTGTGCACCCTCTGAAGGTGTTTGTGAGGGTGCAGAATAGCAGATTGTGCACATTACAGGGTGTTTGTGAGGGTGCAGAATAGCTGTGGTACCCTGCAAGGATTTGACTGAGCTGTGCATTTCACAGAGCTGACATGAACGCTGAAGACATTAACTTAGAAATGCCTCGCCTTTTTTCATTACTCACGCCAGAAGTTGTTTTCCTGTGAGTTTGTTCTGAGGGGCCCTGCTCAGAGGAACAGAGAGATGTCCCATAAGGAGTTTGTGAGGAGGGTTGAGACCCTGCCCAGCAGGATGAAGCAGAGCT